ATGAACCTGTATAATAAATAAATAAATCTATGAACCTGTATAATAAAGTTTGAATGAATGACCAAAGGTCATGCCCATTAATCCAGGTATAAATCCATCCATGTTCAGGCAGGTCATCTGGACGGTTTCTATTGTTGCTGACATGGACTTCAATCTGAGGAGCCCACTAAACCTTTTTTAGTTTAGAAACCTGACTGAACATTGCTGAACTAATATCTGGATTACTGAGCATGAACTTTGGTGTTTTGAACCACTTGGCTGCCTTTTATTGGAGCTGACGGGGGAGAGGGCGGGCCCCAGAGGCTGTCTTCTCACCAGCAAACTGTTTTTTGCACTCTGGAAGTGAGCTGTTTGTGAGATTCAGTTTGGTTTGGTGGCTCCTCACACTGAAGAAGTCCTTCGGATGAAGGACGAAAGTCTCAGCAAAAAAAGAAACCGTCCAGATGACCTGGTTGAAATAATGAATTTGTTCTACCGCCGAGGTCCGCTAGGTGGCGACAAAGACGCTTTTCTGTTGGTGTGCCGACCGGCAATAAAGCCACGAAGAAGAACTTGAGCGAGGCCAGTTTTAGCAGAAGGCGGGAGTTCAACACGAAGCTCCGTCATCGAGCAGGACCTGGAACCACCTGGGACAAGTGCATCTCGCTGGTCCCACTCGTCCAGGACCACACCGTCATCTGTCATCTGCAGGTGGATCCAACATGGCGGGCACGAACCCGGGAACTCACCTCGGTAAGGGTCGCGCTGCACGCGTCACGTGACTTCAGCTAATGAATAGAATTAAATCCAGGAGCAGTTCGTCACGTTCAAATGACAAATGCACATTATTATTATTTTTGTTTGAAAAGTTAAACACGAGCGGACGTTTGGTTGACTTTAACTTGGAGTTTAATGAGTAACAGAGGTTACTGACCTCCGGGATATTTCGTTAGTTTTCATTCTCTAATTTGACATTTATTAATATAAGTAGCCCATAACTACAGGGACAACATCTAATGGAAGTCTCATGACTGACCACAGATCAGTTAGTCCCTTAAACTCAGCTGCGATGCGTTCAATGAGCAACATCTAATGGAAGTCTCAAGACTGACCACAGATCAGTTAGTCCCTTAAACTCAGCTGTGATGCGTTCAATGAGCAACATCTAATGGAAGTCTCAAGACTGACCACAGATCAGTTAGTCCCTTAAACTCAGCTGTGATGCGTTCAATGACCAACATCTAATGGAAGTCTCAAGACTGACCACAGATCAGTTAGTCCC